GGATCTTTTTTTTTACTTATGAGAGAGACAAAGGCAGCTGGGGGCTCAGCTGCTTATCGCTGCTAATATCCAGCGCCATCGACTTTCCCTCCCCCCCCCCCAAATATGGAATTCAATTACATTTTCATTTGATCTCTGTCGCCGTTTCATTGGGATTGAACGTGACGAATTAAATTCCGTCTCCCAAACGGCCACCAAATGTCGCGCCGGCAATTAAAAAATAAAATCCATGCGCGTGCGCACATAACACCGCGGATTGTCATAACGATAGCGACGTTTGAGTTGGTCGTGTGTTAGGGATCGGTCTCGTGCTCTGCGGCATCGGCGCTAAATATTTCTTAAATTAAGCGATTAACAAATGCCTTCTCGGAGCCGCGATGCTGCACTAAGACGGTGTCCATCACGCTGCATCGCCGCGTTCATCCCGCACCGCTAATGCCCAAATGATTTCTGTTTCCAACGGAGCCGCGCGGATTATTACGGAATGTGACAATGCCGCATGGAAAAAGTGGTTAATGCAGCGGGTTAGCTGCCTGTTTAATTGGGTGCAATTTAACCCCATTTGGATGACGATGGTTTTTTTTATTTGGAGGCAGGAGTTGGCAGGGGGGGGGGGCAGTGGGTGTAAATGAGGCTGCCGGTCTCTGCGTGACCGGACTGGTGATTGGCACGTTGAGCTGTGCATACAGCCTTCTCTCTCTCTCTCAGCGGCGTAACTATCGTCATTTCGCTAATTTGTTACGCCGCCAGTAATCGTATTATGCGAGTGCGCGTGCGAGTGCGCGTGTGTGTGCGTGAGTGAGCGAGCGGAGAGCTCGGGGCGCGGGCGTTTCTACGACAGGCCGTGTGTGTGCACGCGCGCGCGTGTGTATTCATGCGCGCGCGTGCGTGCTCATGCGCGCGCGTGCGTGCTCATGCGCGCACGCGCAGACTCTTGTGTATTCCGCGCGTATCGTCACGTGAATTTTATAAAGCTGCAAATGACAGCGAGGCCCAATTACATAACGCTTAATAAGCGAGCTGTGAAGTGCGGCCTAATCACTTCACCGCACATGACACACAACGCGCGTGCACACGCATTAGTATTACACTTCTTTCCACTAGTCTTGTGTGTGCCATATACGAGCTGCTGGTATTACGTCCACGCCAGTTTCTCTTTCCAATGGCTCCTGGCTGGCGCCTTCGGTTTCCACCGTTTCCACCGTGGACGTCCTCTGCCTCTGTTTCCCTCCAACTCTCGTTGCGACTGCTCTTGCTGGGAGCCTTTTAGCTGGCGGTATTCGTCTTCTAACCACCACGCACTTATCTGATCGTCCATCCCCATCATGTCGTAGTTCTTGCCATATCCATTTCTGTCCCGGCGAATTAATTCCCGAATACATTCCGGACTAAGCGAGGAGGCGTGAGTTGAGACCCTGTCAGCCGGCTCCGCGACAGTGTGGGCGCGCGCAAAAACAAACATCGCGGCCGCGTCGACGGCACTTAAGATCTTTCGATGGAGGCATCGGAAGGTTTTCAATTGGCGTCACCATGAGCTTATCTCGTGGCTAAAGAAACCCAGGTCTATAATTGTAATCATCGTCATTCAAACGCTGCGGGAAGACGAAATCAGAAATGCGGCCCGAGCTTTCAGTCGGTTTTCCAATCATGGAAGCGCGGCGGGGAGAGCCATGCCCAGACGCAGGCGGAGGCGATTAGACACGAAAGCGCGCGGCCGGCACCACCGATACGCCACCGACAAGCACCTGGCACACCGTCGACACGCCACGGACACACACCCGACACGCCACAGACACACACCCGACACACCACGGACTCACCACCAACACCACCGACTCACCATTGACACACCACCGACACCGCTGACACGCCACGGACACACACCCGACACGCCACAGACACACAGCCGACACGCCACAGACACACACCCGACACGCCACAGACACACACCCGACACACCACGGACTCACTACCAACACCACCGACTCACCATTGACACACCACCGACACCGCTGACACGCCACGGACACGCTGCGGACATGCCACCAATACGTCACCGACACACCGCTGATATACCACCGACACACCGCCGACACACCGTCACAGCCATCACTGCAGTGGTGGCCGCAGCGGCGGCAGCACGCTTCCCGCCATCTCACGTCGACCAAATAATTTGTTCCTTTCTGCAAGTAAAAAAAAATGTGGGGGATTTGTGCAACGTAGTCCCAGAGGATGCAGAGTAATTAAATCTAACGAGCCTTAATTTCGTTGTAATTACGACTTTGTCGCCGTCACTGTGCTACGCGATTGGCGCCTCTGCATTAGCATTTTGGCAAATTTCTTGTACGGTTTTATCCCCGGCATAATCCGTCATCCCTTGTGGACCGGCGGAGCCAGGGAGGTTGCGGGAAGGGTGGGTGAGAGGGTGAGAGGGAGGGAGGGTGAGAGGGAGAGAGGGCGGGTGAGAGGGAGAGAGGGAGGGTGAGAGGGAGAGAGGGAGGGTGAGAGGGAGAGAGGGAGGGTGAGAGGGAGAGAGGGAGGGTGAGAGGGAGAGAGGGAGGGTGAGAGGGAGGGAGGGAGGGTGAGAGGGAGGGAGGGAGGGTGAGAGGGAGGGAGGGAGGGTGAGAGGGAGGGAGGGAGGGTGAGAGGGAGGGAGGGAGGGTGAGAGGGAGGGAGGGAGGGTGAGAGGGAGGGAGGGTGGGAGGGAGGGAGGGTGGGAGGGTGGGAGGGTGGGAGGGAGGGTGGGAGGGAGGGAGGTGAGAGGGAGGGAGGGTGAGGAGGGAGGGAGGGTGAGAGGGAGGGAGGGTGAGAGGGAGGGAGGGGTCTGTGGGCGTGAGGGCTGAGTTTACTGAATGGGCTGTCATGGTGATGGGGTGAAGAGAGAGTTGTTTTGGTCGGTACACGGGATTGGGGTGATGTGGTGAAGGGCGCTGGGTGGTGGGGTGGGTGTGGTGAGGAGTGGTGGGGTAGGCATGGTGTGGTGAGGAGTGGTGGGGTAGGCGTGGTGTGGTGAGGAGTGGTGGGGTAGGCGCGGTGTGGTGAGGAGTGGTGGTGTGGTGAGGAGTGGTGGGGTAGGCGTGGTATGGTGAGGAGTGGTGGTGTGGTGGGGTAGGCGCGGTGTGGTGAGGAGTGGTGGTTTGGTGAGGAGTGGTGGGGTAGGTGTGGTGTGGAGTGGTGGGGTAGGCGTGGTGTGGTGAGGAGTGGTGGTATAGGTGTGGTGAGGAGTGGTGGGGTAGGCGTGGTGTGGTGAGGAGTGGTCGGGTTAGGCGTGGTGTGGTGAGGAGTGGTGGGATAGGCGTGGTGTGGTGAGGAGTGGTGGGGTAGGCGTGGTGTGGTGAGGAGTGGTGGGGTAGGCGTGGTGTGGTGAGGAGTGGTGGGGTAGGCGTGGTGTGTTGAGGAGTGGTGGGGTAGGCGTGGTGTAGTGAGGAGTGGTGGGGTAGGCGTGGTGTGGTGAGGAGTGCTGCGTGGTGGGGTACGCGTGGTGTAGTGAGGAGTGGTGGAGAAGGCGTGGTGTGGTGAGGAGTGGTGGGGTAGGCGTGGTGAGGAGTGGTGGTGTGGTGAGGTGTGGTGTGGTGAGGTGAGAAGTGGTGGGGTCGATGTGGTGTGGTGAGGAGTGCTGCGTGGTGGGGTAGGTGCGGTGGCTTGTGCTGATGACTGTTCTTGGTTGTTTTTAATTTTCGTTGCTGGAGTCTCCGATAAAAATCCTCGCAAACCCACCACAGACGCTTTGCCCCGGAACAATTACGCAGCAGATGTCGACCTTGATGTGTCCTGTGGTAGCCCAGTGTGCTTTGACCCCAAACCCAAGATATCTAGAGGTTATCATGGACAGAAGACCTTCAAGCCCCACGTAAAACATATCGGTGAAACGACCAAATCCTGAATCTCCCAACAAACTTTCAGGAATGACCTCGTGGGGTGCCTCGGCTGCACTGCTGCCTCTCACCGATCTACTCAGCAGCAGCAGCAGTCACTGAGCAACTTGATCACGCAATGCGCATCGTAACCAGAAACACTAAAAACGGACACCAACCCTCCCTGTTCCGGTGAATATTCTGCACACCAGACACGCAAACTGCAAGGGACTTGGACAGATTTCTTGCCAACGGCAACCGGCTACCCCAACATCAACCGAGACCTCAACGACGTTCCTTGCCGCTAATTCGAGTCCCCGATCCCCCCCTTTTGGGAGCGCGCTGCTACGGTCACCATCCTGGAACCTCGCCCAGATCCAGAAGGAACTCGCCTCCTGGGTTTGAGATTCCTCCTCGAAACGCACGGGGGTGTAACCATCAACCGCATTAGAACATCAGCAAGCCGACGCGCGTTTCTCCTTCATGAATGTCAAATTAAAGACGAACTCTCTCCTGAAGCCCTCTCGTCGTGGCCAGCAGCAGACCTTTGCATTCAGCCCGTGAACCACATTGCCGCACAAGAACATAACGTTGGGGGCGAGTCCTGTTCTTGGTGAGTGGGTGGGGGGGGGGACATTGGTGCGGCGAGGAGTGTGGCGGTCGGGGGGGCTTTGTGGCTGCCGCTCGGCGATTGTCGGCAGCGACTCCGGTGCGGAGGCCGCGGCGATCGGACGCCAACGCACGGCGCCGATGCCACGCGCCGGGACTCGGGCTCGCTCGCTCTCCCCACAGCACGCCATGAGGGGCGGCGTGCAGAGCGCTCGCTGTTGTTACACGGCCCTTGCCTCAACAGCAGCCTCCCCACCACCCCTCCGATCCCCCCCACCCTATTCCCCCCCCTCCACCCTATTCCCCCCCCTCCACCCTATATTCCCCCCCCTCCACCCCTATTCCCCCCCCTCCACCTATTCCCCCCCCTCCACCCTATTCCCCCCCAACCCATTCCCCCCACCCCATTCCACCCCCCCTCAACCATATTCCCCCCCTCCCCCCCACCCCTATTCCCCCCCCACCCCCCACCCTATTCCCCCCAGCCCCCACCCCACCCCACCGAGACCACAGTCGCTGCTCTCTGCCATTCGCCACCTCGCGTCCAGCCCTCAACTCCCCGTCCGTCGCCCGCCGCTGCGAAAGACGCCCGCGCCATTTCTCTCCCTCTGCCCCGCGCGCCGCGGCGCTCCGCTCGTAAATCCGGCGGCTGCTGTCGCCTCACGAGCCCGCGGCAGCTCCTCGCGAAGGCCCTCGCCCGCCGCAGCGCTTCTAAACATCGTGTCTCCGTTTGTTTACCTCATTTATGTTGGCGCTCTTCTGACCCGCGCGCGCGACGTTTCCTCCTCTCGCGCAACGCCGCCTCTACCTCCACCCCCCCCTCTTCACCCCCCCCCCCTCTTCCCCCCCCTCTTCCCCCCCTCCCCCCCCTGCCCGCCCCTCTCCCTGCTCTCCCTCCCTGCCCCCCTCCCCTCTTCCCCCCCTCTTCCCCCTCCCCGCCCCCCTCTCCCTGCTCTCCCTCCCTGCCCCCCCCTCTTACCCCCCCCCCCCCCCCCCCCCCCCCCCCCCCCCCCCCCCCCCCCCCCCCCCCCCCCCCCCCCCCCTCCCCCCCCCCCCCCCCCCCCCCCCCGCCCCCCCCCTCTCCCCCCCCCCCCCCTCTTCCCCGCCCCCCCTCTCCCCCGCCCCCCTCCCCCCGCCCCCCCCCCTCTTCCCCCTCCCCGCCCCTCTCCCCCCCTCCCCGCCCCCCCCTTCCCCCCCTCTGCCCCCTCCTCTGCCGTCCCAGGCGTCCGCAGGTTATGCGCGCATGACCGATCTGTGTCTGTTTGCATCGCGCCCGCGCGCCGCATCTGATTTTGTGGAATTAATTGGGTTGGATTGATGAGAGTGCTGCCGTGCATATCTGGTGGGCGCACTCCGCCCCCACGGCCCCCCACATCCCGGCTCCCCTCTACGCCCACTCGCCGCCCCCAGCTCCCCCTCAACCCCCCTTGCTGCTACTCCCCCACGTGCTCCCCCACGCCGCAACCCGCGAGCTCCTCTTTGTAATCTCGTCGCGTGCGCGCGCGGTGTGGCCGCGTCGAGATATTTTGGCTTCTCTCAAATGCCGCCGAGTGCCATATCCTCTGCGCGAGGCCGCCGGCGCGAAACGGCGAACCCCGTCGGCCCCGACCGCCGCCGATGTTTGACCGCGTCTCGAGTGACAACAGTGGCGACGGACGATTTCAGGTCGCTTCGCCCGGTCGTTTTTCACAACACGTGGTTCACAGCCCCGAACGCCGCGAATAAAAAAAACCCGCGCGGATCGTGACACCACCACGACGCTCGCGCATGCAGACGGCTAGAACCACCCGTGAAGAGCAGCGAATCCTTTATCGCTCATCCATAACAGCAGCAGAGCACCCTCCCCCCCTCCTCCTCTTCATCTCGGGATAATTAAACCCGCGTCATATATTTGGCCGCTTTCTCCGTGCGTTCGCCGCTGCGTTTGCACCGCGGGTAGCTGCGGAGCTGGAATGATGATAACCGACTGAGGCAAAAATGGAACTGCTCGTCGCGAACCGTCGACGCCAACGCACCGCAAACCGCGGCTGCATCGCTGGCGCAATGATGAAGGTCGTTACTCGCAATCAGCGATCGAAAATGCCGCGCGTGAGCCCCTCAACTCCCACGAGTGGCACCGGCCTAAAAGGTTCACGGAGAATCATCCGGGGAGCCGCTTCCACGGTTTGGTAAACAGCTCGCGCGCGAGCAACGCCCGCTGGTGCAGAGCTGCGTGACTGAGAATTGGCGGGCGGGTGGTGGAGGCAGATGGGGGGGGTGGCGGGGGGCTTGGTTGTGAGCTGTAGGAAGGTTCTCTTCGCAATGGAAGAGAGGGAGGGACACGGGACAGTACGGAGAATTTGCAGCCAAGCGGAACAAAACCCACAGTGGCGGCGAGGCTTTAGATTAATCCACCCGCCTTGTTATCTCCAAATTGATTGAGGAATTCTTAGCAGCGCGGCGGCCGTGTGGGGAGGCACGCCGGGCGCCCGGGCCAGGCTCCCAGATCCATGGGACAAAAGTGGCCTGATAAGCTCCTGCTCCTGATGCTGCTGCTGTTTGTGTTGCTAATGCTGCTGGTACCTGTCGCTTTTTGTGTTGCTACTGATATTTCTGCTTCTGTTGCTGTGTCAGCTGCTGCTGCTGCTGCTGCTGCATTTTGTCGGCTTGTTTTGGTTCATTGTCCTGTGGTCCTTTAGGGCCACCTTTAGGCTTAAACGATTATTTTCCCTTTGCCGATGGAGGTATGAAACAAATATGGATCATTATGAAGCCAGTGAGCTGGCCTGGGCTCACTGGCTTCAGCTAGCCTGGCTGTTTATCCTTCTTGGGAACATAAATTAGGAACGCCGCCGTGAATATTTGGAACGATGGTGTGAATATTGGGAATGTCACTTGGGATATTGGGATCATCGCCGTGAATACTGGGAACGTCGCTACGAATATTGGGAATTTCGCTAAATATCGGGAACATCTATGGGAATATTGGGAACGCCAGTGGGAATATTTGGAGTGTCGCATTGAATATTGGAAATGTCGCTGTGCATATTGGAATGAAATTGCCAGAGAAGGAGGAGTGGGTGCATCCTAGGTCCCTGTGCCGGCCCCTGTGAGTGCAGCCACGTCGTGATGTTGCGCTCTTCGCCTTTGCTCGCTCGTTACTCCCTCGTTGCTGTCAGATATAAAATAGTGCTGCTGCTCCACCCCCGTGCCTGACCTCCCAACCCCACGGGGCAGCCCTTCTCCCCCCCCCCTCCCCCCTAGCCCTGCTGTGCCTCCATCCCAGCCAGTAGTTGGAATGGGCCCTGGTGCGTGGAAATAAATGGGGGGCCTCCGCAGTCCAATTTCCCCCCTTATGTGTAGCCCCGTGGCTGGGCCCCTCCGATCTGTTGGTCCCAGTGCGGTTGCACCGCCTGCACACTCAATAGCTGAGCCACTGCCTCACAATGAATGTGACTTGGCCCTGCACCACTCACTGTGCCTGCCAGTCTCGTGCGCGCGGTCCTACGGACACCAGCAACACGTGTGGGTGAACCTGAGTCGGTGGGTGGATGTTCGTGGGTGGACATGAGTGGGTGAACGTCAGTGAATGGGTGGCCATGGGTGGATGTGAGTGGGTGGACGTGAGTGAATGGGTGGATGTGAGTGGGTGAGTGGACATGCATGGACTGCTGGCTAGTCGTGTGGATGGAAGGGAGCGGTGCTTTTGTAGCCTTGGTAGAGAAACGCCACTAACGAGTGGTTCCTCCCATCGCATGTGGCGCTCGCGACCCAATTAGCTGGGGAGGAGGGGGCTGGGGGGAGGGGGGGCTCACTTAGGAACTCGCTCGCACGCTCACTCGCTCGACCCCCCGCTCGGAGCGGTGCAACGTGAGAGTCACTCATGGATTATTCATGAACTGTTCCGCACACCTTGGCACTAAATAATTTATTACCGAAAAGTGATTTTTTTTCTTCTTTCAAATTAGATACTTTGCAAGAAACACTTTGGGTTGAAACATCCTGAAAATTAGTACCAATTGGCGTAAGTGCACCAACACTGCAGCCAAGTACCACGGTCGTTGGCTTAAAGGTCACGGTTTAAGGAAAACGGAGCGATTAACATAGGGGTGGTGGCGGTGGGGGGGGATTAGCAGGCGGGGAAAGGGCTCTGCAGACTCGGCTCACTGCAGCCACGGGGAATGCAGCATCTAATCGATTCATATGGACTCTAATGCGTATTAATAACATTGTGAATCACGATCTTGAATCACGATCCTCCGAATAGCCGTGGGATAACATCGCATTCCGCCTCAACTTTCCACTGCTACATCGGGCGTGCACATCGAACATTCACTTCGTTCCATCCAAGTGGCAGTTGCGTGTATGTGCGCGTGCGGGCATCTGTGCACATGCCTCGTGAAGGACGCTTCTGAGTACTTGGAGGTAGTCGCCCTCCAACAACAGGGGAGGGCGGAGGAGTGATGCCTACAACGAGTGGAGCGCCGAGCGGCTTTAACGCAGCGATTTGGCACAGTAGGGGGGGCACAGGTGGTGCATCCACCAGTCATCTCAGTCAACCCATGGTACCTGGGTCTGTCCTATGACCTCCTGCGAGCAGCGAGCCTTTGACACTTCGCTGGCCTCAAGGTGCACCTTGCCTGGCACAAGAGCTCTGTGCCTGGTGTGACGAGGCACAGGTGTGAGCGCACTTGCAGCACACTCGCGCAATATTCACGCGTCGATTCACATAACTGGTCATCCCAGGGTGGGGGGGAGGGGGCTTTACTTCCTGACAAAATATATTATCCGGGTTGTTGGTAGACCGGATTAGGTGATGGCTCGTAATAATGGGAAGTATACTGGATGTGATGTGCTGGGTGCGGAAATAATGTTTTCAGGATCGCTGACCCGAACAGGTCCCGGATAAAATTGAGGCCTGGCGGTCCTTTCGTCCGCACGCCGCCGGGGTTGTTGTTGACGTTGACCCTGCCTCCTGGCAGAGAAGTCGGGGATTTGGAGAAGTTCCAGGAATGTGCTCCATTCGATGGCTAAGAAGGTTAGGTGGAGGATTTGGGGAGCGAGTAGAGGTGGGGGGAGGGGTGGGAGAGGGGGAGATGTGAAATGTAGGACACCCTGTTACGGTGAGCGTGGATTGCTCACTGACGGGGACAGGATGATTGGCGGGGTGGGCTGGCTGCCGAACGCCGTAAGGCCGTTATTGCCGCGCTCATGCCGATGCGAGTCACAACCTGTGGCCGAGTGCGGCTCGTTGTGAATCTTCGTCGTCGGCTACGATCAATCCACCGCTGGCTGAAGGCCTGTCCAAGCCGTCTGCCACCTGTTGCAATGCTCCGATCAAATAGTCCGCCAAGCACCTGCTTACGAGCTGGTTTCGTCTCTTTATCATCCTTGGTGGACGTCTTCTCCAGACGCCTTCCGTCCCTTGGCCGCCACTCCGTTATGAGCCTTGACCACCTCCCGTCGTATATTCTGGTGACACGTCCTCCCCAAGCCCGCTTGCATTTATTAACTCTTTCCCGTTCCGAGACACCTGCAAAGTTGCAAAGTGGGGTCCCATTCACGGCTGAATCTCGGGACGCGCGGGCGCTTATTATTAATTTTATTTAGAGATGCGTAGCATCGTTGTTTTGAAAGACATTGTACTCACCGCAGAGAACTATAGCGACACGACCGCACTCTACGATAACTGGGACCAAACTGTGCCACGCGCCCTCCCGCATGGCATTGTGGGAGCATCAGTACCTATAAAGTTATTTTATTTTAGAATAACTGGAATGGGAAAGTGACGAGTT